TTGTTCCTTCCTGTGAATGGAATTGGAATTGAGAATAGACCTACCATGAGACCAGCCAAGCATGTCATGCCACCCCCTAGTTCACACACAGCAAGGTCCCTGAAACAGAGAAAGAGAACGGAGGAGTACATACAAATGAGAAGAAAATGGGCAGACATATATATGTTACAAGAATAAATTGCCATCTGCAGTAGTAAAAAAAAAAAAAATTTAAGTTACCAGGAAGTTGTAGGGACACTACCAGGTGACCTCATGGCGTTTTGCGTTTTAAAAATAATTATGAAAAAGAAAAGTCACAAAGCATGTAGAACAGTAGGGGGTTCCCTCATTAGTGTTTTCTACCACATTACCACCGCTGAGCTAAAAAATCTGAGAAGGTTCTTTTTTTTTCTCCTTTGTCAATAGTGCTCTCTGTTAAAACTAAAGTAGCTAGAGTAACGAAAGATAATTGTTAGCCAAGTAAAGCATTGTTAATACTGCTCTCATTCCTGCAAATATTGAGGAGCAGGTTAACGCTTCGAGTGCCGGGCAATGACGAGAACAGGGCATTTCGAATGTTAAATAATAAATGGAAAGAGTTGCCCAGCGAGGCATGACCTCATGGGGTTAAATAAGCATCTACGCTTGTTTCCAACGTACAGGAAGTTCACTGAAGCAATATTTTAGATAAGAGTGTTTTTGAATGCAGTATATAAGAGCAGCTATAACATCATTTCTTATTCAGGGAAACATAGATGAATTGGCAAATTTTTCCAATGCAGATATTTTGGCTAAAATTTTAAATTCACGTTGAACTGACTTTAAATTCCTGAATGTTCAAACTTTTGAAAATAAATCTGTGTGATTTAAAAAAATAAAATAATTTTTTTTTAGCTATTATTAATCTAGATTACTAGTGCAATATGCTGATATCCTAACTTCATTCTGGAAAGGCACACTTAGAGTATTTAATGCAAATCACCATCAATCTCTGGATCTGATCACCAAGACAAACTCACTGAACAAACTACAAAAAAACTATTAAGATGAATGAATGTTTTGAGGCTTCATCTTCCCGATTCACAGGAACATAGGACATCATACTGTGATCATAGAGAATTTGCAAAAATGTCTGAAAATACAAACATTAATTATTCAAAATGGTAGCACACATTAGCTGGTCCAGGTAGCAGTGATACGGTGATTTAAACATGCTTTTTGCATGCACTTTGGGGGGGAGGGGGAAACGTTTACATCAGTAAAATGTACATCAACAAGAGATTTCACAGTTATTGTAATTCATAATATTTAAACATTTACTTATGGAGCTAGAGCTAATTATTTAACAATTTACCTTTAGAGCTAGAGTTTATTACTTAACCATTTACCTATAGAGCTAGGCGATAAGTTACATTGAGTTGGAAGATGCTTATCCAATAGGCAAGTGCGTCAAGCTCTTATTAAACGAAAGTTCCAAAATCAGAGGATGGAATGTGTCGGTCGGGTCGAAACGTTACAGTGTGTTGGCCCCAATAAATCTGCTGTTATGCAATCTACTTGAGTGCCTGGACCATCACTTTATTTTATATATTTATGAATCTATGACACCGATTTATCAGTATTTGTTTTAATAACTCACTTCTGGGCTTTTGGGTTTTGCGTTCCTTCGTTCGTGGAATGATATATGGTACAGTTAAAACCTCATAAATATCGAAAAATTAAAGAAATCTGCCTCAATTGTTAGTGATACTCTCAAACTGTACCTTCAGGTATTTAAAATTCAAATTGCTACAGTGCTGGCACCTTACCAAATATTTAGAAAAGTAAAATATACAGAGTGGCGATATAGTCATTGCCCACAGTCGCAGCTAAATGATATGGTATTGTTTATTACATAATGCTCGGAAAAGAGAGATTACAAAATGCCTGTTATTCTGTCTGACCTTCACAATACACATTGATTGACTGAAGACTCACATTTGTTTCCCCCCCCCAAAAAAAAATCAAACTGAAATAGAATGCCTTGAGTGGAAATCAAAAGTCTTTGACGTACAGCAATAAGCTTGCTGTGCAATATTAGAACCCACAGGCAGTTTAACATTCTTTGTCAAGAGTAACTCATTTCACCTTGAACTTTTTTTCTTTGTTAAACTTGTTTCTTTAATACATAATATGATACATTCATTCTAAACAAGTTAAAGAAAATACTAAACTGGAACTTTACACAGATAAAATATATAACAAAGATACACCCCAGAAAGTTGAATAGTATAAAATTAGTAATATTACCCTTTAAGTTAAAACTATTAAGATTGTAAGATGATTCCTCATATCTTGTTCATAAATACATAAAATATACAACCTATAAAAGAAAAAAGAAAATAGTGTGATATTGTTAATGTTCTATAAAACTCTGATGATTATTTTGCACTCACAAAAGTAAATTGATTGCAGGCACAAGGTATCTTTTGACGATGTAACCTTCTGTTCTTTTCTCCTATCCCATTAAATACATAGAAGAGAGAGGGAGAAATACAAACATAGTGTACCAGTTTAAAAGTTTTAACAACTTTGAGGGGCGGAGCCTGACCACTGATGAAGATGGACACGTGAGTCCTAAGCTCCCTCTCCCCTGAGCATATAATCTGCCTCCATCAGTGAAAATTATTGCACATCAAACCGATATTGACACCACCACGTACAGACAAACAAGCCCTCATTGACTTGTCACCATGGGAGGCAACAAGAAGCAGAAGGAACTCACTCCATCTGTGGTCACGATGTTCCGCAACTCAGAACAGGGGTGGCCATCTTTACCCCAGGGCCCACCTATATCAGACTCGGACACCAAGGACAGTGATGTCCCCGACGACTCCACAGCCCCTCTCACCATGGGAAACCCGAGGAAATTACTCAGGGAAACATCCGCGGACATCGAGGCCTACACGGCGGCGGAATTAGAAAAACAAATCTTGGGCCTAAAGGGCGACCTCGAGGAGCTCACATTGCACACTTCACAGTCTGAACAGGACATCTCAGGCCTTACCCAAAAATCTCAGGCCCGATAACAAGAGATCTTCACTATGCAGGACCGGATCGTCAGCTGGAGGACGGCCTGGAAGACCAGAATAATCGGTCCCGCAGGCATAACATCAAGTTGTTCACAAAAGTCATGACAGAGAGACTTAACCCCCTCCTATCAAAACTTATTCACCTGGACCAAGTGTGGTATATCACAAACAAACAGGCTAGCGACAACACCAGGAGTACGTTCAACCTAATCTGGTATTCTAACTACTGACAGACCCCCAACCTGGTCCTCTCCCTCGATGCCGACAAAGCATTTGATAGACTGCTATGGCCCTTTCTCTTCACGACCCTCCAAAAATTCAGGCTCCCACAACCCTTTATTGATGTTCTGTGCATGCTTTACTCCTCCCCACAGCCAATCTCCTTCTCCATTCGTCACAACCACCATCTTTCTGAATACTGAATGGAACGCGTCAAGGCTATCCCCTCTCCTTGATCCTGTTTGCCTTATCCCTTGAACCGCTCCTCCAACTCCCCCGGGGACATAATGGCATACACAGCTTGAACATTTGTGGCGAAGTATACAAAATAGCTGCCTATGCAGATGACTTACTCCTAATGTTAACTGACCCACTACGCTCAATCCCACTCCTTAAATCCGCATTAGACAACTACGCCGCAGTTTCCGGCTACAAACTTAATATTGACAAAACCGAAGTCTTACTAATACACATAGACCACCTGACACTCAACGCCCTACAAACACTAAACCCGTTTAACATCCAGACCTCTACCATTAAATACCTAGGCACCATACTCCCCGCCGACCTGACAAAAACCTACAGCCACAACTATACGCCCCTGCTCGACAAAGCCACGTGGGATCTAGAGAAATGGAAAGACATGTCAATCTCTTGGCTAGGCCATTTGGTCTCCATTAAAATTAATCTCTTACTGAGGTTCTTGTACCTCTTCCAAGCCCTCCCAATACCCATCTCGACATTTGACTTCAAAAGGCTACAAAACGAACATAGATAGATTCATATGAGCAAGCAAAAGGGCCAGGATTACACGCAACACACTTTACGTACAGAACAAAGGCAGCGGGCTCAGATTACCTAACTTCAACCAATACTTTCACGCCGCACAACTAGCCCAAACACTGAATCTTCATGCCGCATACGGCTTTAAACATTGGGTAGACTTGAGCACACCATCTTCAGGAGGGACTTCCCATCCTTATATATCTGGCTACCAAAACAAGCTAGACCCCCTATCCCCTCCATCTCCCCAGCACTTCTCACATCGATTAAGATATAGGATAAGGTGACGGTAAAATGCAACCTCATATCACACCCCTCCCCACTCACACCTATCCTCTGAAACACAAAATGTACTCCCAGTATGAACCCTAGAGATTTCATACACTTCGAGGAAAACGACTTGACCCAAATTCCCCAATTCTACAGGAACAGACAGCTTTTACCATTTATAACTAAGACAAAATTTATATCAAACCACACAAAGTGAAATAATAATGAATATGCAAAAAATACAACCTGAGCTTGTCAGTATAATCGGTAATATCTAAAAGCATAAGATAAAGTACAACATAGAGTAATCTGTATAAAGACAGTTAAGATAAAGCAGAACAGACTATCACTCACATGATACAGAGCCGTCCCAGGCTCTGTATTGTAGACTCAAGGGTGCCAATACAGGCAAATGAAATTCCCAAAGAGTAGATGGAGAAATATCTAAAAAAATATATATATTTATTGAATAATATAAAATTCAAAATTACAAAGCTCAGGGTACTAGGGGAGTGGAATCCAAATCATACAAACAAAAGGATATCCACTTACCCCAATATAATGACCGAGAGCAGACACATAAAATGAACATAAATAAGAATAAAATACAGCTGGATAATAAAAAATGTATCAGCAATAGCAGCAGACGCGTTTCGGCTCAAAAAGCCTTCTTCAAGTGCTGATGCTGAAGTCTCCGAAGCTTATTAAATACACTGAATATGTGACTGCAATTATTCAGTGTATTTAATAAGCTTCGGAGACTTCAGCATCAGCACTTGAAGAAGGCTTTTTGAGCCGAAACGCGTCTGCTGCTATTGCTGATACATTTTTTATTATCCAGCTGTATTTTGTTCTTATTTATGTTCATTTTATGTGTCTGCTCTCGGTCATTATATTGTTTGTATGATTTGGATTCCACTCCCCTAGTACCCTGAGCTTTGTAATTTAGAATTTTATATTATTCAATAAATATATATATTTTTTGAGATATTTCTCCATCTACTCTTTGGGAATTTCGTTTGCCTGTATTGGCACCCTTGAGTCTACAATACAGAGCCTGGGACGGCTCTGCATCATGTGAGTGATAGTCTGTTCTGCCTTATCTTAACTGTCTTTATACAGATTACACTATGTTGTACTTTATCTTATGCTTTTAGATATTACCTGATTATACTGACAAGCTCAGGTTGTATTTTTTGCATATTCATTATTATTTCACTTTGTGTGGTTTGATATAAATTTTGTCTTAGTTATTCACGTTTTCATTGTGTTTGGGGAAACACTCTTATATCTACCACCACTCTTATCTTCACGAAGCGCCTATACACTAGTTATTTGTTTTTTCTAGCTTATACCATTTGCAGACCTCCCACAACACACCCCATTTGCAACCCACAATTTCTTTCAACACATTCAAATTTGGAGCTTTATCAGTGAACCCACCTATAAGCAAGTGAGTACCACCCCCCTAACACCTCTTAAAAAATCGTGTGTCAAGTATCCTACCCAAAAGGGACAGATCTTCACGATATACTCTCTCATCACCCGGAATACACAGGAAAGCTCCTGGGAGAGGGATATAGGCCCCATTGGAGACCCCAAAGATTGGATAAGCATTTGGGAGGCCACGGCAATGTTCTCTATATGTGTAAACCACAAGGAACAAGCATATAAAACACTTCTAAGATGGTACCTCACCCGACTTTGCCTAAAACAAATAAAGAAGTCAGACCACAACCTTTGCTGGAAAGGGTGCAGAAACAAAGGCACATACATCCACCTTTGGTGGGAATGCACTCAGGTAGCGACATTATGGCAACAGGTATCACGGCTCGCAACTCAGGTACTGCACACAGACATCCCGATGTACCCATGGTTGTGGCTCCTCTCTAGACTCCTCAAGAATACTCCGCGAGCCCAAAACAAATAGCCAAACTAGCACTAGCCACGAGAAGGGCAATCACAGAGAAATGGGGAAGCCCAGACACCTCTTCCCTTGACTTAGTAAAACTTAAAATAAAAGACGCCATGAAAATGGACAAACTCTCTGCTCTTATACATGACACAACTAAACATTTTGATAAAGTATGGGAACCCTGGATATTCAAATTCCCAATCTCCTCCTAAAACCCTCTTCCTGGAAGGGGCTAGAGAGGAGGGAGTACCTTGGTGAAATCCTCACCTCGAGGACCACCCCACATTATTGTTCCTTTTTTTTCCCCCTCTGTCCCTGTCCCCCCCCTCCTCCTACCTCTCTATTCTTCCCTGAGAGCCCTACCTAGACCCCCAACCAGTAACTTTCCTTCCCCCATCCTTCTGGCCCCCTACTCAACCACCAAACTGCAATCACCCACATATACACATGCCTCGCTGGACGCAGCAAACCCAAAACCATCTTCCAATGATAACACTAGCTAACCCATCCACCACCCGCTACGGGACCCAGGGGCTCTGGGTTCCCAACCCACTGCTCACTAAATTGTATATCCCTATCAACCGAACCACTTAAACCCCTTAAGCTAACAATACACACATTTACCACTCCCTGAGCCTGCTATCATATCAAACGGTGGTTAAATTCAGATAGCAAACCCATGCTCCCACACTCAACAACTCTAGCTCCACTGGGCCCCCAATAATAAAGCACTATCAAAAGCATGCCGAACAACAACCGTCATCACACCCCAGCCTGGTTCTTGGGCACCTGATACCAGCCACCGACCAATACAATGTACACAGGAAGGTTTAATTTGTTATGTGGTTGCATAATGATACTGTCTTGCATTGCAATGTAAACTAACACCTCTGTTTCTCCATTCTGTAACTTTCTTTCATGTTGATAAGCAAAAACGGAAAAACTATCACAAATAACGAATTAAAAAAAAAAAAAGTTTTAGCAACTTTTATATCTGAAATACACTCACAAGATGGATCTCTTAGTCTTGCACATCAAAAAGTTGATTTTTGGACTCAGTCCTCCGGAGCCGGAACACAATAATTGCAGCCAGAAATCCAGTATTAAGTTAATAAACAAATATAAAATAAAATTCCCTTAAAATAAACAAAAATTAGAGTCACTATATGGTTCTCCCAGCCCTATGCGTTTCGTCCCATGACAGGACTTCTTTAGCACAAGATTGAGGCTTGAGATTGCTGAATATAATTAGCATGAAATTGAGGCTTGCGACACAAAGCCTCCATTATATCAACGCAGGTGATTACGATCAAGCAGCCATTACCGATTGGCTGATGATGGTTTGGGATGGAGCAAAAAGGATTCTTAAATCTCTTCTATGTATTTAATGGGATAAGAGAAAATAACAGAATGCTACATCCTCAAAAGATACCTTTAGGTGCCTGCAATCCACTTACTTTTGTGAGTGCAAAGTCATCACCAGCGTTATAGAACTTAACAATATCACACTATTTTCTTTTTTCTTTTATAGATTATATATATTATGTAAACTGGAACTTTGACTACCAATAAAAGTTGTTTTAATTTTGAAGAAGACTCAAAAGTGCCATCCCTTGTTATATATATTTATGTCACAATCATACACACCTAATGCTCTTATTTAACTTTTGAGTTTTACCTGAACAAGTCTTTGTTTTTCAAGCAGTAGTATGCCAAAACTTCTTCAGAAGGCCAGATACCTGCAAGAGAATACACGTGGCATATACATGATTAATACATGTTGCATAAAAAAGACTTTTCATTGAAATATTACATTCATGCAACATTTTTCACCTTATGGAAGCCACAAAGACACAGCATTTGGAACCTCAATTCCATATATAAGACTCAGTTTGATAAAGAAAGGAAATCAATGGTCCATTTATGTGTCATCCATCCACGTGAATTAACCCCTTAAGAACGGAGGCAACTGTACACGTTCTGATCAAAACAAAATGTAAATAAAACATTTCATTTGCTCTACATGTCTGCTCAACCGTAATGCACCTTTCATATTAAGTGCACCCACACTTATTATATATCACTTTGTTCGGAAGAATCAGGGATTTAATTTGACATCAAATAATTAAATATTGAACATAATTTTATACAAATAAAATCTAAAAAAGTGTAAGAAATTAAGAAATTTAATTATTTTCTTTGTTCTACATGGAAATTTAACTGTGAATGTCATAATACTGTTAGCATTTACTGCAATAAAATACACATATTGTGTTCAGCAATGTCTCATGAATATAACAGTACCACCCATGTACAGAATTTATGGGGTTTTGGAAACTTACAGGGTTAATTATAAATATTTTCCCTTTTCAGTTTTACACAATGAAATTTGACAGATTAGTTATCTTGCCTTTGAGACCGTATCGCAACTCAGGACTGAAATTAACCCCATCACGGCATAACATTTGCAAAAGTAGACAACACTGGTTTTAAAAATAGGGTATATCCAATTTTATTTAGTAGCCACTTAGTCACAAACCCGGGCCAAATTTAGTATTCATATTTGTTTTTTTGTATTTTTCACACACAAACTGCACTTTCATTGATGATATTGTCGTGACACTTTTTTACACTGGTTTGAAACAATCATAGTTCGCCTACATATACAGGTTTTATGGTGTTTTGGAAAGTTACAGGGTTAAATATAGGGCTTGCAAATGAAATTATATGGACTTTCTGCCTGGGTTGTCAGGCAGGTTTCCCAAATTGTAATAAATAAAATCACTTAATTATCTAAAATTATTACATAAATATACACATAGAATAAAAAATAATAATAATAATAATATATATATATATATATATATATATATATATACACACACATATAACACCATTAGGGAGCAGGAGATGCCCTTCAGTGGCTAGAATGCAGACAAAGTTATATCTACTGTGAAGTAAGTGGGAGGAGGACACTTACAGTCTCTATACAAAATGCTCCAGCAGAAAAAAAAATGTAGTTTTTCCACTGGAAATAGTGCTGGAAAACAATGTGGAAAGTGAGTAGGATTTTACGTGGACTAACGCAAAACAAAATGCAGTTATTTTAGAAATGTAATTTGGAGTAAAGGAACTTCTAGCTAGGGGTTTCCTGTACCTGGCTAGGTGCGCTGACTCACTGAACATATGCTACTGTAGAGAAATATACTCAGTGAACCTGAATTTATAAGATCCAATATGGACTTCTGAACTGGTTGACTTTAAGATATACCTTACAAATGCCAACTTACTGCCAAATATTAGATTGGGGTAGGAATAGAAGAAATAGAATTCTCCAAAGCTCTCAATAAGAACTTAACATTTCTGTAATGATCCAAGAAAATAGGAGTCTCTCGTCCTGGTAGGTTAGCAAGACATGAAAGGCTATTGCAAATTTTTATTCTTCGATTTGACATGAGTTTTTATATGCTGGAATAAATACTCCCTTGGACCCAGAGAGATAGAACAGCAGAAAGCAGTGTCTTTCAGAGTACTAAAGACTACTGATAAACTACTTGATAAAGGCTACCAGGAGGAGCCGAAACGTTGGGGGGACTGTTTGTGACTCGTGTTTCTGCCCATATAGGCTTGTGAGATTTGGTAATTATATGGTTTAGCCTTTTTTTTGCCTATTTTGTCACTATCAGATTGTTACAATTTGTGTATGTAATATTTGCATTGTATTATAATAAATATATTTAGATAGATACTATTGTATCAGTTGGTGTGCATTCCTTTCTTTTTGAGTATTTGTTTATTGGTATTGGAGGGAGTACCTTGTTGGAGTAGCACCCATAATTGTGGTAGTAATTATATTAAG